AAAAATGAACATTAGTTTTAATTGAAAAGTAAATATTTTTATATATTATTAATAAATAATTTAATATTAACCTGATGTTAGAAAAGAAATCGCTAATAACACGACAACAACCTTTATTATTAAATTAATAAAAAAAACCAAATAGTTAATTAACACGCATAAGTTACGATTGTTTTCTTTAATCACTTTAAAATGAAACAAACTTACAATTAAAGTGAATTCCCATACTCCAGGAAACAAACTAGTTTTGGGAACTAAAATAGCTCTAACGCGATAAGATATTGTTTGATTTTGTTCACTATGAATGTTATCATTGTTAATGATAGTTTTATTAACGTCTCTATCCTGGCTTTCCAAATAATTTTTTATTTTCAACACGTCATTAGGATCAGATAAATAAACTATTGGAAAATCAAACGTGTCAGGTGGTATTTTCGGTTCATCATTATAAAGAGCGTCAGCCATTATTATTGCACCATTTATTCTCCCTTCTTTATCTTGTTTAGCTACTAAAAGTGTTGGCAATGTGCATGCTGAATTTGATATCAATGCTATTTCTCTTGCCTTTCCTTTATATGCATTCTTTGGACTAAATGTTAGATCGCTCTTAATAGTGCAATTATATATATATTCTATTAAGAATCCCTTCGTAAATCATAATTAATGTAAGATTGATGTTAATTATTAATTATTATAAGTTGATATTATCAAGCAAAATTATTTAATTACCTGATTACCATCTTTATTAGGCGAAACGCTATTATCCAATAAATCAACTTTGTCGAAGTTAATATCATCAATATCCTGCGCAACTTTTATTTGATTGTTTTTATTACCTTGTTGAGTTATTTCTACAACATCAATCTGAACAACCGGTCCTGATACCGTTCCTATTCCTGCAAGCGTCTCTGTTACATTTGATAGTAATATTATATATAATAATATTGCCTATGAATCTAGTCAATTATGTGAATATGGTTATACACAATTAGCTAAAGATATTGCAAAAGAAACAGATAGTCAAACCGATTTGACACCTAGTTCTAAATTATCAGAATTACTTTACATTGTAAAATTACAAGGTCAGTGTTCACATGCAAGTATAAATATATATGTGTGTTTATTATCTGATTGATTGATTTGTAAAAAATGGCTTGATTTTTTTTCTTTTAGATGAAGAAAATGATGAAGAAGAAATGAAACCATGTGAACCACCAATTGATGACGAGCCTGATAGTAGTAGCAGTGCTACTGAAGATGGAGTATTTCATTCCAAATATTTGACACACGTTGATTCAGACACTAGAAATAGTAGTATGTATCATAGTAATATCATTCAATTGATTCATAATGATATTATTATTATTATTCATTATTTAATTTTATTTTTAGTCCCTAAACCTGTTCCAATTTATTCAACTTGGTATATGACAACTCATAGAGCTGCTTCTACATGTGCTATTTTTAGTGGCGATGGTATTGAAAAATAATATTTGATTTATTATAATTATATATATAATAATAGAAAACTGAAATTTGTATGAAAACAGGAAAATATGCTGCAACTGGATCTGTTGATGCCTCACTTAAAGTTTTAGACACATCTAAAATGAATAGTCGCTCTGACGAAGATAGGCCAGTCATAAGAACATTATATGATCATCTTGGTGTAAATATTTGCTTATATATAATAATATCAACTATATTATTACTTCACTGATACTCATAAATAAATATATTATAGCCTGTTAATGATTTATCTTTTCATCCAAATGGGTTGGTACTTGCTTCTTGTTCTGACG